GGTGGGAGATGGGGAAGGAGAGGGGGGCGTTGGGGGTCACACTCACCTTGGTAGGGGATGGAATCGCGGAAGGGGTTGGGGGGGAGGGAGGTTGAAGGTCATGGGGTCCCACCAGCCCAGCGTGAGGGGGGTTTCATCTCATGGGGAGGAGCAAAGGTGGAACCATGGGGTGGGTTGGAGGGAGCTTAAAGAGCATCTAGATCCACCCCCTGCATGGGCAGGGACACCTCCCACCAGCCCAGGCTGCTCCAGCCCCACATTAGATACCTGGAACACTTCAGGGATGGGGCAGCACCTTGAAGATCATATAGTGGGATCATCTGGGTGGGCTTGAAGGTCCTTCCAACCCAAACCATCCCAGGAGCTAAATTCTATGATGGTGGGTCTTGCATGATCACATGGTGTGACAATGGAGTCATGGAATGGGTTGGGTTGGAGGGAGCTTGAAGACCATCTAGATCCACCCCCTGCATGGGCAGGGACACCTCCCACCAGCCCAGGCTGCTCCAGCCCCAGCCAACCTGCCCTTCAACACCCCCAGGGATGGGGCAGCCACAGCTTCCCTGGCCCAGGCTCTCCCCACCCTCCCAGCCAACAAGTTCCTCCTCAGCTCCAACCTCCAGCTCCCCACTGCCACTTTCAAGCCCTTCCCCCTCAGCCCATCCCTCCTGCCCTTGGCCCAAGTCCCTCCCCAGCTTTCCTGGAGCCCCTTCAGGCACTGGAAGCTGCTCTAAGGTCTCCCTGGAACCTTCTCCTCTCCAGGCTGGACACCCCAACTCTCCCAGCCTGGCTCCAGAGCTGCTCCAGCCCTCCCAGCATCTCCGTGGATCCTCTGGCCTCTCTCCAACAGCTCAATGTTCTCCCTGTGCTGGAGGCTCCAGAACTGCTCCCAGTTCTCCAGGGGGGTCTCAGAGAAGGACAATCCCCTTCCTGGCCCTGCTGGTGACACAGCCCAGGACACAGTTGGCTCTGATGGCTCATGTTGATCTTCTCATCACCCAACACCCCCAGGTCCTTCTCCTCAGGGCTGCAAACCAGCCTGAAGAGGCTGATCCCTACAGGGATCCCAGCTCCCCCAAAATTGGGTCCTCTCCTCAAGCAGCTGTTTGACCAAACCAAGTCAAGATTGGGAAGAAAACTAATTAGAGTCAGGACATAATGAGCCACCAGGTCCATCCAACCCCATTCCTTGAAGAAACAGCCCCAGACCTTTCAGAATTCCCACCAGGACAGCAGCCCCAGCACAACCTTTTCTCCTCATTCATCTCCTACCTCGTTCCAACAAATGAACTTTCCCACCTCCTAATTCATCTCCTCATGAATGAACTTTCCCACCTTTTGTTTCCTGGTCTGGTCTCTTGGATCAAGGCCATTTAGGCCAGAGATGGATCAAGTCCTTCTGAGTCCTCAACCAGCTGGTTGGGCAGGGAGAGCAGCAGGAAAACCCTTCCACAGAAGGCAGGGGTGGGGTTGGTTGGTTGGTGGGATGGGGTTGACTGGTTGGTGGGATGGGGTTGGCTGGTTGGTGGGATGGGGTTGGCTGGTTGGTGGGATGGGGTGGGTTGGTTGGGTTTTTTTAACCCATTTTTTAATCTAAATTCCCTGGTTTGCTCCTTCTTGGTCTCCAGGAGGTCCAAGTCCCTTGTGATCAACTCCTTCCTTGCTCCATTTCTTGTGGGAATTCCAAGGGGAGACACAGAGGGAGAGGCCCCATGTCCTGCCTGCCCTCCAAAAGCTGCTACACCAGGTCAAAGCTCCAGTTTGCAGAGCCTGGGTGATCCTCCTCACCATGGAGGCCACAGCAGAAGACACAGGACCAAGGTCTGGGCTGTGTCTTCTGCAGTTGGGTGATGGAGGAGAGTCTAAGATGAAGGTTCCTTCCCTAACTTCTTACATCTGAATCATCCTATCGACTCAAGAAGGTTGGAAAAGACCTCTAAGATCATCCATCAAGTCCAACCATCAACCCAACCTCACCATGCCAACTAAACCATGTCCCCAAGTGCCTCATCTACATGGGTTTTGAACCCCTCCAGGGATGGGGACCCCACCCCTGCCCTGGGCAGCCTGGGCCAGGGCCTGACAACCTTGTCCATGGAGAAACTGTTCCCAAGACCCAACCTAAACCTCCCCTTCCTGCTTCAAAGGGTAGTAAGGACCAGGAGAAGCCACCACTCACCAAGATAGCCCTGTGTTTTCTTCTGTAGTGCAGTGACAGGACAGTCCTTGTGGGCCAGCAGGAGCTGCTTGAGTTGAGCCACCTCGTTCCTCAGCAGCGTCACTTCATTCTGGTGGGAACACAAAACATGAATCTGCATCACTCAGGCCCTGGACAGAAGCCTCCAGCACCAGGAGGATGTTCATTTGTGTGGAAATAAAGGTCTCAGGAGTTCTGCTGCCTTCATGTGAGGTGCCTCTGGCCCAAGAACAGCCAACAAAGTATCTGGGTTTGGGGGCGCAAGACCTGAGGTGCAGAGTTTCATGGAACCATGGGTTGGGCTGGAGGGACCTTGAAAATCATCCAGTCCCACCCTGTTTGTGGGCAGGGACACCTCCCACCAGCCCAGGCTGCTCCAAGCCCCATCCAATCTGCCAGTGGGCTGAGGGGAAAGGGCTTGAAAGTGGCAGTGGGGAGCTGGAGGTTGGAGCTGAGGAGGAACTTGTTGGCTGGGAGGGTGGGGAGAGCCTGGGCCAGGGAAGCTGTGGCTGCCCCATCCCTGGGGGTGTTGAAGGGCAGGTTGGCTGGGGCTGGAGCAGCCTGGGCTGGTGGGAGGTGTCCCTGCCCATGCAGGGGGTGGATCTAGATGGTCTTCAAGCTCCCTCCAACCCAACCCATTCCATGACTCCATTGTCACACCATGTGATCATGCAAGACCCACCATCATAGAATTTAGCTCCTGGGATGGTTTGGGTTGGAAGGGACCTTCAAGCCCACCCAGATGATCCCACTATATGATCTTCAAGGTGCTGCCCCATCCCTGAAGTGTTCCAGGTATCTACTCTGGGGCTTGGAGCAGCCTGGGCTGGTGGGAGGTGTCCCTGCCCATGCAGGGGGTGGATCTAGATGATCTTGAAGGTCCCTCCAACCCAACCCATTCCATGATTCTATGACATTCAGCTGCTTCCCAGGGCCTCAGTGCTCTGCTCCTGGGCTGGCATGGCTCCTCCAGTGAGGAGCTCCTTTTGAGGTGACAGGGAGAGAAATCAAGAGCACTTGAGCTTCTGCCTCCCACTCCCACCCCTGCCAGGAAAGCAGGGAGTGAAATCCAGGCACAGGGGCAGGGATCCCACTCTGGAGAGCAGCACCCATGGGTTGGTATCTGCAGCAATGGGGAAGCTGTTCCCTTGGGAGCAAGGGTGAAGGCTCAGGCTCCATCACAGACTCTCAGAATGCTGGGGGTTGGAAGGGACCTCTGAAGATCAAGTCCAACCCTCTGCCAGAGAAGAACCAAAGCTAAGGCAGGTCCCTCAGAAAGGCACCCAGATGAGTCTTGAAAGTCTCCAGGGAAGGAGACTCCACAACCTCGCTGGGCAGCCTGTCCCAGGGCTCTGTCACCCTCACAGCCCAGAAGTTCTTCCCCACATTGAGGTGGAACTTCCTGAGCTCCAGTTTGAACCCATTGCCCCTCACCCTCTCCCAGGCCACCCAGAGCTCATCCCACCTTCTCACCACCCTCGCGGACTCCCAGACCTCAACCCCACCCCCTCTCAAGTCTTCTCCTCTCCTTGACTGCAAAACCCCCCAGCTCCCTGAGCTCCCTGAGGGGCTCCCTACTCACGCTCAGCTGGATGTTCTGGGTGGTGAGCTCCTCAGCTTTCTTCTCCAGAGGGGACACCCAGAGCTTGCGCTTCTGGCGGCAGCGCGAGGCGGCCGCGCGGTTCCGCTCCAGGAACCGCTGGCGCCGCTCGTCCGGGTCCTCGTCCACCGTGCGGCGCCTCCTGCCCCCCGTGCTGGGGGTGGGCTGGGCTGGGGACACCTGGAGGGGTGGGAGAAAGAAGGATGCTGGCCTCTCTGGTGGAGGCAGGAGGGGAGGTTTGGGAGGGGTGGCAGCTCCGGTTGGGGTAAATAAGTGACTTTCCGGGAGGGTTTTTTTGGAGCTTTTCCTCAGCCAAGTGAGAATCGTGGGTTGGGATGGAGGTTCAAGATCATCCAGTCCTACCCTCTGCATGGGCAGGGACACCTCCCACCAGCCCCGGGTGCTCCAATCCCCAGAGTAGATACCTGGAACACTCCCAGGGATGGGGCAGCACCTTAAAGATCCTCTAGTGGGATCATCTTGAAGGTCCCTTCCAACCCAAACCATCCCAGGAGCTAAATACCACCTAGATCCACCTCCTGCATGGGCAGGGACACCTCCCACCAGCCCAGGCTGCTCCAGCCCCAGCCAACCTGCCCTTCAACACCCCCAGGGATGGGGCAGCCACAGCTTCCCTGGCCCAGGCTCTCCCCACCCTCCCAGCCAACAAGTTCCTCCTCAGCTCCAACCTCCAGCTCCCCACTGCCACTTTCAAGCCCTTCCCCCTCAGCCCATCCCTCCTGCCCTTGGCCCAAGTCCCTCCCCAGCTTTCCTGGAGCCCCTTCAGGCCCTGGAAGCTGCTCTCAGGTCTCCCTGGAGCCTTCTCCTCTCCAGGCTGGACACCCACCCATCTGGATTCACTCTGGATTCAGCCCCTCACTCCCAAAACACAAATCCCAGTTGTTTCGAACAGTCAATTTGCTTGGAAACTGAATTTGAGCTTCAATTTTCCCCAAACACCTCCAGCCAAACAAGCTCTCAGAGGCAACAGGTCCAAAAAAAAAAAAAGATTCTCTAAGATCCATTTCCCCAGCTTTTCTTTTGGAAGGACAAAGGAAAAAGGCAACGAGGCCCAGTGGTGTTTCTGGAACAATCCAGGGACTGCAGCTCCACGTGGGCATGGCCTGTCAGGCAACATATGGACATTAAACTTTTTGGAAGCCCATCTCCTGGTTGGAGCAGGTGGTCATCCTGCTGGAAAGCTGGCACTTGGTGAGTTGGCAGGAGCCCATGGAGCTGAGAGGAGAACATTTAACCCCAGTCAGTGAGCTGGGAGAAAAGAGGGAAATCATTCTGTTCCAACTCCAGAATCTGCTGAACACCATGAGCAGGTTGTTGAAGTTCCCTGCCCTGGTGGTGGCTGAGAGTGTTGGTGCTGGAGCAGCACTGAAAATAAACCAACCCCCACCCCAAGGTTCTGAACTCATAGCAAGAAGCTGCAGGTTTCTCCTCCTCTTGGCCCACAACAGCTCCAGGCCAAGGAGCATCAGACCTGGGGCTGAGCTGGGGAAGGGGCATCTGGGTGTTGGACCAGGATCTGACTCTGCTCTGGACGGGCTGTCACCATCGTGCTGGCTGAGCCCACCACCAGGTTGCTGCCATTCAAGGAGGAAGACCCCGTCAAGGTGGCCTTCAGCCTCTGCAAAGGAGAAGAAAGGACATCAGTGGCCTGGGCGTCCGTGGTATGAAGGATGGAAGCAGCTTCTCTTTCACCCAAGGGGTTGCAGGGACTGTGGTTGATGCAGATCCAAGCAAAAGCCACCACCATCTGGCCTGCCCAAGGACACAGAGGGGCTTCCAACTCAGAGCCAAGAGGGCAGGTGTCCACAGCCCACAATGACTGCTGAGTTTGGCACTGACCTGCTCCCCAGCTGGCAGGTTCTGCAGAAATGTCATAAAACCACAGAAACCCAGACCGGTTTGGGTTGGAAAGAACCTTCAAGCTCATCCAGCCCCACCCCCTGCATGGGCAGGGACACCTCCCACCAGCCCAGGCTGCTCCAAGCCCCACATTAGATACCTGGAACACTTCAGGGATGGGGCAGCACCTTAAAGATCATCTAGTGGGATCATCTGGGTGGGCCTGAAGGTCCCTTCCAACCCAAACCATGAGCTAAAGAGCATCCAGATCCCACCCCCTGCATGGGCAGGGACACCTCCCACCAGCCCAGGCTGCTCCAGCCCCAGCCAACCTGCCCTTCAACACCCCCAGGGATGGGGCAGCCACAGCTTCCCTGGCCCAGGCTCTCCCCACCCTCCCAGCCCACCAGGT